ATACAGGCTTGCAACCAAGAATAACTTTTCCTACAGAGGGGCAAATGGATCTTTGATGGAATAGAGAACTTTCAAGCATTTCTGATGAAAAGACCAGAGCTGAGTAGAGACTGAAATACTAACACAAGAATCTAGAGGAACCTAGAAAGATAAATTTATTTGAGCTATTGGAAGGAGCTATATGGTGATGCAGTGTTAACATAATAGGAAGAGAAGAAATAAATGTCCTTTCAGAACTTTAATGTCTTCAAAGGATATAGAGGGACTTAATTAGAAAAACAGAGGTCTTGGAGTGGAAGGTGGTATGGATTAGTTCTATTTTGAGGAATTGAAGAGGAGAAAGAGAAGGGAGAATAGAAAAGAAGTGGAACTTTGCTACTTCTTATAATTGACATGCATAAGAAGAGTATATAAACATGGAGAGTGGTTGAGGGGAGGGGGAGAGGTATCATATGAACCCCACTCTTATCTGAGGTAGACAAAGGGGAGCTGAACATACAAACACACTCAGAGTGTGGTGTAGAAATATATCAAACCTGACAGAAAAATAAACAGGGAAAGGATAAAGAGGAATTAAGGAAAGAGGAAAATACCAGGGAAGGAACAGTTGAAAGCAATGCAAATTTCTTGGTAGAGAAGGGAGGATTACAAGGAAAGAAAAAAAAAGCAAAAAAAGCAAAAATCTAAAATCTAACTATTTGCCTTAGGTTGCCTTGTAAGCAATTGGGGATGTACAATATGAATATAACGGAATATTACTGTGCTGTAGAAATGACAAAAGTGATGATTTCCAAGAGTACAAAGTGACTAATCCAAACGAACTAAAACAGGAGAACAACGTATGCAAGTATACCAACATGGTAAAACAAGTTTGAGATATTTAAGAAATCTGATCAATGAAATGACTAACCATGCCTCCAGGGGACCTATTCATGAACCACATCCTGACAGTGAAGTGATAGGGTTTTCCTTGTATGTGTTATAACAGCTTGGTTGTGTCCATGGCTAGACCCCTACTATAGGAGGTAAAAACACAAACAAACTCAAGATCTGCCAATGTGAGAGCTCTGGGCAAAAGCAGGGAGATAGGGAGCTGTATATTATATGGCCACATCTGTGCTACAAATAGTATTTAGAATTCCTTCTTCCTCACCCCAGGAAGGAGTTGGTGCTGGCAAATGGGCCAGCTACTTTACTGCAGATGACCCTGGCTTGTGATGGAGATGTGTGACAATGCCCAAAGTGTCATAACCTGTGCTGTAACCCTCATGTTTCTAATCCTGATGCTACTCAATATCATTGCTTTTTATCACAAGATACACTGTGAATGGAAAGCATTTGGGATCAACTACCGCATGGACCAGATCATGAAGATCTAGGACTTTGTCTTTCAGAATAGGAAGTAAAGCCTAGAATTTTTTATTTCATCCTTCTATATTTGTTTGCTTCTTTAGGAAGCCATTATATTGCTTGTTGTCTTTTGTTTTTGCTATCTGTTTAAGTTTTTCATTTTCTCCTTCAGTGCTATCTAGGACAAGCATCTTGCATCTCCAGGTTTGAGTTGACTTAGTAACAGCCCTAAAGTCCTTTAAGTGGTAGAAGATCATCTAGAAAACTTTTTGGACCTTGTCAAAGGTCCAAGATGTGGCTGGAGCAATATCTTAAGGCTCTAAACCAGAGGTGTAAAACAAGTGGCCTCCAGGACAAGTGTGGCCCAATCCAGATTAAAATGTAATTGGGAAATATTTAACAAAATAAATAAAAATACAATAAAACAAATAATTTGTTGTTGAGTCATTTCAGTCCTGTCCAACTCTTTGGAGTTTTCTTGGCAAAGATACTGGAGTACTTTGCCATTTCCTTCTCTAGTTCATTTTACAGATGAGGAACATGGAGGCAAACAGGGTTAAATGACCCCGGGGTCACACAGGTACTAAGTGTCTGAGGCCACATTTGAAATCATGAAGGTAAATCTTGTTAATTCCAAGCCCAGTGCTCTATCCACTACACCACATGGTCTTTGTGAATCTTTATGAATGTTTTAGTGACCTCTGTTTCTATTTGAGTTTGACACTACTTTCTCACACCACTCAGGCTAGGCCACTTTTTCCCTAAAACTTAATGAAAGCATTCTAGAGGTTTAAGAGATTAAGGGCTATAGATATAATTTCCTAGTGCCCTAAGTACAAAAGCTAGGGTGTGAGCAGTCATTGGTTTCTCCCTGGCTTTTGACTGGCAGGCTAGCAACAAAACCTACACTATCACTAGAAAACTGTACTTAGTTTAATCTGTGCTATATCTTTACTGAATATCTTTTCCCTGCTCTGAATATTCTTCCCTTTTGTTAACTGACAAATGTTTTAAGCAAGTCTCATTTCCTTCTACTCTTGAATTTGAGGTATCAGACTTGAGTCATTAGACCCTGACCTAAGCCAGGGACCAAGTCATTAACTAGCTTCCAGGTTGCCTAAGGCATAAAAAACCAGGTCACATCACTGCCCCACACACTTGATAAATGGACTGCCTTACAACCATTTGAGTTGCCACACCAAACACATTCTGCTCACCACATGCACTTTTGAGGACCTCTGGCAGTCACAAAAGAGACAGATAGCTTTGGACTTAAAATACTTAGTCTTAAATGGAGTAGGTTGTATTAATCAAGAAGAATCAATCATACAAAGATAATGTCAAAATGGGTACATGATTTACACATAAAGGGTGATACCATAAGTAAAAAAGGAGAGTATGGAATAGTTTATTAGTCAGATTTATGGATAAGGGAATAATTTAGGACCAAAGAAAATATAGCAAGCATTACAAAATGTAAAATGGATAACTTTGATATATAAAGTTAAAAAGATTTTGCACAAACAAAACCAACGCAACCCAAAATTTAAAAAAAGCAGAAAACTAGGGGAAAATTTTGCAACAAGTATCTCTGATAAAGGCCTCATTTCTCAAATATACAGAGAAGTGAGTCATATTTATAAAAATAGAAGTCATTCCCCAAGTGATAGTCAAAGTTAAAGGATATGAACAGGCAGTTTTCAGATGAAGAAATTAAAGCTATCTATAGTCATATGAAAAAATGCTCTAAATCACCATTGATTAGAGAAATGAAAATTAAAACAACTCTGAGGTACCAGCTCACAACTATTAGATTAGATTAAAAAAAAAAGGTAAATATTGGAGGGAATGTGGGAAAACTGGGACACTAATGCACTGCTGGTGGAGTTGTGAACTGATTGAACCATTCTAGAGAGCAATTTGGAACTATGCACAAAGGACTATCAAACTGTGCATACCCTTTGATCCAGCAATACCACTACTAGATCTATACCCCCAAGACATAAAAAGGGGGGGGGGAGGACCCATTTGTACAAAAATATAGTAGCTTTTTTTGTGGTGGACAAGAATTGGAAACTGAGATGCCCATCAATTGGGGAATAGCTAAACAAAGTTGTGGTATATGATTGTGATGGAATACTATTGTGTTATAAGAAATGATAAGCAGGATGATTTCAGAAAAACCTGCAAAGATTTACATGAATTGGTACAAAGCAAAGTGAGCAGAAACAGGAGACCCTTTTACACAGTAACAGCATTATTGTAGGACAAAGAACTGTCAGCAACACAATTTCTCAGCAACACAATGATCCAAGACAATGCCAAAGAACTCAGGAAAGAAAATGCTATCCCCCTCCAAAGAAAGGACTAATAGAAAGAACTGATACTGTCTGAAAACTAACTGAATTCAGTATGTTATCTCTCTCTCTCTCTTTTTCGAGTCTTCCTGTATAAAATGACTAATAGGGAAATGTTTTACATGATTGTACATGTATAAACTATATCAGATTGCTTACCATCTCAGGAAGTGGGGAGAGAAGAATAGAATTTTGAACTCAAAACTTTAAAAAAAAAGTTAAGAAATTGTTTTAACATGTAATTGAGAGAAAAAATAAAATATTATTAAAAAAAAAGAAGACTCAATCAACAGGCATTCATAAGAGCCTGCTATGGACACTGTGCTAGTTGCTAGACATTAAAAGACACAGGTGTAAGGGTTTCTGTCCTCTGGAGCTTAAAATAGAGGGTGGGTAGAGCCAGACAACACAAGGTAATTTAGGAGGAAGGCACTAGTAGTTTAGAAGAGCAGGAAAGGCCTCATGTAAGAAGGTAAGAGTGAGCTGAGTCTTGAAGGAAACTAGGAATTCTGAAAGACAGGTACACAGGTAACAAGAGCATTCCTTTCAGGCACCAGGACATCCAGGGCAAAGGCACAAATACAGGATATGAAGCACCCCTAATGAGGAAGGCTAATTTGATTTGACCAGAGTGGGTGAGAAGGGGAGTAATATGTAATTAAGACTGTAAAGGGATAGATTCTGAAGGGATTTAAACGTCAACAGTTAATATTTGGTCTCATAGATAATGGGGGAGCCACTGAAAGTTTTTTTTTTTTTTTTGTGGGGTGACAGTCGCACTGCGCTTTAGGAAAGTCACTTTGGCAGCTGGATGGAGGATGGATTGGAATGGGGAAGCAATGAGGTAGGGAGACCCCCACGGAGGTCACTGCAATGGTCAAGGCAAAGGAACCTGAATTGGGTTGGGGGATGAATGCGTGGAGATGAGGGGATGCAAACGTGAGATATCGTGAAGGCAAATGAGGACCTCTGAGAATTTATGGTCTTTGAGGAGGGGAAAGCAAAAAACAGAAAATGAAATGAAATCACAAACCAATCTGGGGAAGACTGGTTGCTGGAACCATGCCCGGAAAGCGGAGCTACAAACAGTTCCAACCGCCGCCACCGCCCAGCTGAGCGTGGACTGAGCAAGCTCAGCCGCTCCTCCTCCCCGACCCCACCCCGAGCCCGCCCCCCCCCTGACGCCACTCTCCTTGCTCATCTCCGATTGGCCAGCGCTGTGAGGGCGTCCCTCTCCGCCGCCAATAGGAGCGGAGCCGACCGGCTGATCCGCGGCCCCGGGGATGCGCAAGCGGAAGTCTCGGAGCGTCCGCGGCGCTGCCTGAGCGGGGCGGTGGCCACGAAGTCTTCAGAGCCATTCCCTGGCTGTTCTTGGTGGCTTCCGCTGACCCCCACCTCTCCTCACCCAGACGCCGGGCTGAGAATGGCTCGTTTCGCTTTAACCATTGTCAGACAGTGAGTAAGCACGTGGGAAGCGACGCTCTCCCCTCTGTGTTGTTGGGGTGCGGGTAGGGGGCACAGCCCTTTCCCCTTTGACCCTTCCCCTCCCCGCCGTGAAGCACCTCCCCGGAGAGCTCACCCTGCTCTTTGGGGAGGGAAGGAGAAGAAGGAGCAGTGTTCGGTAGCCCCGAAACATGTACTCTTCTCAAGAGAAGGGACTTTAATTTTTTGTCTTTGTCTCCCCCCCAATCCACAGCGTTGTTCCTCGTACACAGTAGGTGCCTAATGTCTGATCCCCAGGGGACACCTAAGAACACATCTGATCCAACCTCCTTATTTTACAGTTGAGGAAACTGAGGCCCTGAGAGGTTATGAGACTTGCCCAAGGTCACAGAGGTTAGATCTGGGAGTTGGTATTAGAACCCAAGTCATCTTGACTCTTGAACTAGTGCTGTATATAACACTGTCTCCTATACATCATTTCACATCTTTTAAGGAAAGGCGGATCCCCTGGTAGAATCCTGCATTTTTGGATCTGAGAGAGACTAGAGGTGTAGTATGCTGGGGTTCTTAGCCAGGGGGTCTGTGAAATTGATTTCTTAAGAATAGCAACTATTTCAATGTAATTGTTTAATGTGAATAATTATATTGATATTGTTACATTAAAGTTATATTATTTATGAATATAAATTGCTTATATGTTAATAAATTATAAGATGTGTTTATAAAGATGTTCATAAATAACTCCATATTGTTTATAAACAACATAATTGATGTAACTAAGCCAATATAATTGAAACTATAATTACTTTGTAGTCTTGTATATTTTATTTATTTAAAGACATTATTCTAAGAAAGCTTCACCAGGCTGCTAGAGGGGTCAATGAGATAACAAGAAAGGTTAAACAAGCAGAGCACCCTCACCCCATTTTATAGAGAAAGAAACTGATGCCCGGAGCATTGAAGTTACTTGCTTTTAGCTCTATTAAGTGGGATTCAGAATTCAATCAAAATCTTATTGGACATTGTGACATCACTGTACTGCCTTCTCCACCTCCATCAGCTTGTGATCTCAGGTGTCCTGATACATACAGCATCTGAGAAATTCAGGCATGGAAATGACCTCAGAGCTCGTTTATTCTAAACTGGACCCGAATAAGGATTCTCCTCATCCGAAACAATTGGTCCACCATCCTCTCCTTCATAGACCTTCAGTTGTGATGAAAGAGTACTGGATTTTGAGTTAGAGGACCTGGGTTCAAATTTGACCTTAGCTGTTTGACGTTGGTCAAATAACATCCATTCTAGGTCTTATTTTCCTCATTTGTAAGGTGAATGGATTGGACTAGGTGATTTTTGATTTCTAAGATGTGTTCCAGGTCTAATTGAACCAGCAGTGTAGAGGTAGCAACTCTTATCTTTCTTTCCTCTGGGATAGGACGTCCAGTCCCTATCCCTGCCCACGTGTGCAATTAGAACAAATTAGGCTAGTCATGTAAGAGAGAGAATGCATTTTTGTTAATCAGTTCCCCCTGCTTACCTCCAAATCTGAGTTTTCCTACTTTGGGAATTGTGCGTCAATAGAAAGAACACGGGAACTAGGTTCAAGAAAAATCTAACCTAAAGCAGACCTAATTCCACCCTAACTGGCTTTGTGACCATGACTTGGCCCTTGATTTTTCAGCCTCAGGTTAAAATAGGGGAGTTGGACTAGAGAATCTCTTAGGTCCTTTTCCAGTTTTAATATACTGTGAATCTATGAAAGTATGTAAAATGAATTTGCCATCCAGAGGACATTAAGGGATTTCTGAGAGCTGTATAAACTCTCGAAGAGCATCTAATTGATGAAACATCTTAGTATAAAAAACCTTGGTTGGCCCTACCTCCATTACCTCTGTGCACCCCCTGGTAAGTCACTTAAGTTCCTGACTCAGCTCAGGTACTACCTTCTACTGGAAGTCTTTCCTGATGCCCTTAACTGCTAGTTCAGTCCCTCTCAGATTACGTTGTATAGAAATGCTTTACATTTATTTGTGCATATTTATTCTGTATATACTAAATGTGTCCCCATTGTCACCCCTGTTAGAAAATAACTCCTTGCCAGGACAGATTGCTGCTTTTGTTGTATTTACCTATTTACGCTGTATCTAGCTTGTTTATACATAACTTATTCACTTCTTTTCTGCACTAATAGACTGTGAGTTCCTTGAGGGCAAGAACTGTTTTGCCTCTTTTTTATATCCTCAGTGCTTAGTGCCATGAAGGCATATAGTGTTTTACTGTTGTATTATGTATGTAATGGTTGTTGACAGACCTTAGTGCCTGGCACAAAGTTGGAGCCTAATAAATACTTGTTGTTTGAGCAATTGATGAGTTTGTTTGAGCATTAGTTTCTGAGACAAGAAATACATCCCTTCATCTAGTTTTCACAATGCTCTGTAAACCTGAAAGTGTTATAAAAACACGAGTAGTTTCTCTTATTAGTTGAACTTCACTTTACAGATGGAGGGAGCTGACGTGGAAGTTGATAAAGATATTTGCTGGAGGTCATACAGCTGGCAGAATCAGAAGTAGAACCCAGTTCTCCAGTGTCCTTTCCTGATGTTTTCCTTGATTCATAAATCATTGAGCATGTAATTTCTGAAGGACAGGCATGACCAACAGTAGAAAACTAAGTTGCATACAGTTGGTTGTTTATTCTGTCCACGAACTTAAGTGTGTAGAAAACATAATAAAGAGAACAGAATTTGCAAGGTGATCATGATTTGGATTCCAAAAGAAGCCAGTTATTAAATGGTTATCTTTGTAGCTACAGTACCTAGCATAAGGTAAGCACTTAAATGTTGTTGAATGAATAATATTAATTTTCTTTCTGTTTGCTATTAAGCTAAGCACTTAATTAGTAAATAATATTAGGTTTCATGACCTTGAAGGCCTTCCTATGAATTGGTTATTAAGTAGCCCAGAATTTGGTTATCCAGTTCCACAGTGTCACATTCAAATAGAAACAGGCCACTAATCTGTACATAAGGATTCTTGCAAGCATCATATTGACAGTTTTGTAAATGTAGTGTTATTTATGTTTATTGTATTTTTAATTTGGTAGAAGCCTCACTGGGGAGTGTTGCATGTGTCTTTAATACCTCTGATCTTGTCTAACCTCCTCATTTTAGAAATGAGGAAACAGGTCTAGAGATCACAGGCTTTGAACTGGGAGATCATTTAGTCTGGAGCCCTTATTTCAGAAGAAGGGGAAACTGAGACCCATTTTGTACTGTGAAGTTGATTTTTTTGAACTTAAGCGTAAGATACTATCACTATTAAAATTTCTTTACTTTAAAAAATATATATTTGAGCCATTGTTCTTAGCCTGTCCAGATCTTTTTGAACTATGTATGCATTATCCAGTGCTTTAGTTGTCTCTTCTAAATTTTGTGTGCTCCATGAATTCGGCAATCGTGCCATTCATTTGATTTAGTGCTAAATAAAAATATTAACTAGAACAAGGTCAAGCACAGATCCCTTTTTGATACCTCTTTCCAAGATGGTAAGAAACCATTATTTACTACCCTTTGGGTCTGGCCTTTCATCCTTTTCTGAATCTAACAGTCATTAAGGTAATGGCCTCCTGCTGTATTACAGAAGAGTTTCCAAAAATCCAGCATCTGTAAGGCTAAAATTACAAGGGACTTGCACAGATGAAAGTATTTTTCTGGGTCCTGACATATTATGAATTGGATACTAGAACATTGTAATTCATCTGCATTCACTTTGCTTTTTTAGCCAGGATGCTTAACTTCTCCTTTTTCAAAAATTAAACACTGCCAAGTGTTAAAAGCTCATTTTGTTAAAACAAACTGTTATTGCAGGATTTGTGGGAAGGAACTGTTTCTTTTGTTATGTAAGTACTCCTGTGGGTTTTGGGAAGCTGGAAACTGCCTCAATCAATGCAAATCTGCTACTGTTTTGTGACTTATGGTCTTAGAGAGTGGCCTGGGGCACCAAAAGGATAAGTGACTTACCCACTGTCAGTGTGTCTGAGACTGGCTGGATTGCCTATTCACAATGCCAGCTGTTCTCAAACATTTTGGTCTCAGGGCCCCTTTATATTCTTAAAAAAATCTCTCAAAGATCTTTTGTTTATTTGTGTTATATCTATCAATATTTGTTCAGTCATTTTTTCAGTCTTGTCTTTGTGGCTCGAGTGGTTTGCCATTTCCTCCAGCTTATTTGACAGGTGAAGAAATTGAGGTAAACAGAGTTAAGTGACTTGCCCAGGGTCACACAGCTAAGTTTGAACTCAGAAAGATAAGTCTTCCTGACTCCAGGCTCAGCACTCTATCCACTGCATCACCTACCAGCCCTATCAATATTTATCATGTTAGAAATGAAAATATCTTAGTATGAAAATATTTTTTTGACCTCACAACCCTCCTGTAAGGGTCATGGGGTCCCTCGACCACACTATAAAGAAGCTCTGCACTATGCCATACTTCAAATTTATATACACAGCATTTGTTGAATGTTAACATTCTTGGTGCTTTTTAAGCTGTTCTGTGATATGTTAAGTAGAACTATAATAGTATTCTATTTTCTGCTGGGTAAGCAATCTATTTTTAAGTGATATATCTGATCCTTATCAAAGAGGCTTTTTGTTTTGTGGTTGGTAGTGAAATTATGGCTAATTGAGTCAGTTTACATATACTTTGGGTTTAGAATCTGAAAAACATTACCTTTTTCTGAAAGCACCAAGCAAATATTTTTAAACTACTACCTCTTGAAATTAATGTCATGTAAATTTTCTATTAGAATTCTCATTGCTGAGCTACTAAGAAACCAAGAATTAATTTAGCAGTTAAATTTCATATGTATATTCTATGTCAAACTTGATAATTTAATTCACTGTAGCATTATAGGTATACCCTTCCTAACTGGCATTTTTAGTGAACTGTTCTTAAAATCAGCGTTATGAGTATTTTACCATATGGGTTCAAATATTATTCCATTTTACCCCTAAGATGGGATCTCTTTGAAGGATGAGGGAGGAACAAACATATATATAAAAACACCTAGGTTTTTATCAAACCAAATTTGAGGAGAAATGGTCCTGTATTTGGACTAATTTGGCAAATGGGTTTTGTAATGAAATGAGGACATGATGCATGCAAGTAACAGATTTTTAAATTAACTTTTTTATCAAAGGTGCCGAGAGAATGCAAATCTTACTCTTTCCAATAATAATAACTCACTAATTTCTATTACTTTAACTCAAATATCATTGCTTTGGGCTTCCATTTTGGGGAAGCTCTTTAATTAATTGAATTATGAATTTTTAAGTTGTTAGGATTGGCTGGGAAATGAGAAATTCTAGACTTCAAAAAAGTTCATTTAGTTTTAAAGTACAGTGGAGAATAGCCTACAAAAATGAGTGGAGTCTATTTGTAGAACCTATAAATGGCTGGTCATGAGACTCTTGGCATAAACATTTGTATTCAGGCAGAGCCATGGTATTTGGAAATGGATCATATGCTGCAGAATGTGAAATTGAATGTTGTTACCACGAACTCCTTCATAATACACTGCCTTGGCCTGCTAGTTCCATCTGCCTTTATTGCCACTGTCATGAAAGTAGTTGTAACTTTAGGGGGCACAAAGTGGTTTTGTTACTACTTTTTAAGTTGTGTGTATGTGTATGTATGCACGTGCACACACATGTGCATATGTATGTGTGTGTACATTCATTGATATGTATATACATTCATGTATATATGCATGTGTGTAGATGTAGGTATTTACATACATATTTGTATATATACGTAGAAATATAATTAAAATATGTAACAAGTTCAGTTTCTTATGTAATCCTTTCTTATTCTGTGCATAGTGTTTGTATCAATGATTGAGTTTGCAATAAAAACATTTTATTTAAAAACATTTTAAGGCTTTGGACTAGTAGTGAAATTATGTAGCTTTCTATATATTCTGTCTTCATTTCCCAAAGTAAACTAAACTTAAAACTATTGCCCCAGAAATTCAAAGAATATCTGTCCAATGGATTGAAGCTGTAAAATTAAACATTAAAAGTTGTCAAAGGGCTGTCCTGGAAGAGACCAGGGGTTCTTCACCTAGGGTCTATGACCTTGTTAAAAATATTTTGATAATTGTTTTAATATAATTGGTTTCCTTTGTAATCCTACTTATTTTATTTTTTGCTTATTTTATTTAGTATTTAAAAATACTATTCTGTAAAGGGGTCCTTAGGCCTCATCAGACGGCCAAAGAAGTCCGCGACATACAAAAAGATTTAAGAACTCTGAGATTAGATTGTTCTGTGCAGTCTGAGAGTGGAGTACGCAGAGTAGTAGATATAACTTGCAGAGTAGCTTATCTCAGCTTGTTAGAAGGCAGTACTTAGCAGAGCTTTCAAGAAGTGGGATGGCTTGCTCTAGAAGGTAGTGAGGTCTTTATGTGAAAGCTATATGGCCATTCGCCATTAATAATGTTGTAAGAAGCAATCTCTTTGTTGGGTTAAGTGGACTCAGAAATAACTACTTTTATAACTTTGAAATGCTTTGATTCCAGGAATAGGTCTTGGAGTCAGTGAACATTGGAACCATGGGCAATTCATGTAACCTCTCTATGCTGCAGTTTGTGTAATTCTTATACTGCCAACTTTTTTTTTGTGTGTGAGGAGAGTGCTTTGTAAATTGTAGAGCACTACATGAAATGAGTTATTAACAGTATTGGTAATAATAACAACATATAAGTTGTACTTCAGGTAAAATGGATGTTAATAGATGATTAGTGTCAGTAAGATGTAGAACCATAAATCATAGGATCAAAGATTTAGAACTGCAGCAAGATGTAGACGTCTTCTAGACCAACTCCTTCATTTTGTGGATGAGGAAACAGCTCCAGAGAGGTTCTGTGGCTTGCCAAGGTCATACAGGTAATGTGGGAGAACTGGCATTTAAATAAACGTTCTCCAACTTTCGATCCAGTTTTCTTTCCCCTGTATTGTGCTGCCTCCATTAAAGACCTTTTGGACACTGTTGCAAGTATTTGTATTTCTGTGGATTATATTGTGATATAGGTTGTACCTTCTTTACCTTCACTGTATCATTATCATTGTAAGAGTTTTGTTACTTGTATTTTTTCCTTGTCTCAAAATAGCATGATATGATAATCAGAGTATGTTTCTCTCTATTTCAGTGGAGAAACAAGATATAACAGAGAGAAAATAATTCAAGGTTGGTCTAATCCTATTGCAAATACAACTTGTTTTGGAAATCTCCTCTAGTGTTAATATGATTTGGCTAATAAGAGTTTTTAAAAAGTATCAGAATGACTGAAGTATGTTCAGAACAATTTATTTGATTAATTTTGGAAGTGAACTGAATGCAAAGAAGTTTTCCCAAGTGATTCCTCATAAGTGACTTCAAAGGAGAGCAAAATCAACTGATTAAAGAGTTATATTACAGTTTGTTTTAAAAATAAACTGACCAAATTAAAAATGATTTGGTATAATAAATGTCACTGAGTGGTGCTGATGCTATTTCCTTCTAGGGTTCTTCTTAATTTAGTTCCAAGTTCAGTAGTGAAGAGGAGGACTATAGAAGTCTCCTATTTCTACACATGCTTCTATTCTGGACGGACTCTTCTGATTAGTCCTTTTATCTTACAGTCAGATCTTTTGAGTTTTAAGCTCTCTGATACCTGACTAAACAGACTATTTTTGTACTTTGGTCCTGAAGTACATTTTGTGACAAAGGCAAGCTCATTCCTGGGGTTTACAGAAACTGATTTTCATTCCTGGTGTGTTCAAATCTATGTTTCTGGAACAAATCTGATTTTTTCATCCCATGATCCTCTTGCCCCACTTCCTCAGTCCTAAATGAAGCTTTTTTTTTTTTGGTCTTCCTGTTTGATATGTACTCTACCCCAAGTAAATCTGTAGACGTGACCTCTTTATCAAAATGTTTTTTGCTATTATTTACCTCTTAAGCTAAAGAAGTCAGCAATATAAGTGGATAAAATTATTTGCTGTGCATGAAGGTACCATAAAGTAAGATAGGGGAGGGCTTGTAGTAAAATGAAAGATTTCATTCATTTAGGGTGATAGGTGGAATTAGTAGAAAAAATGACTAACCTCTAGAAAGCCACTGGTACTACATATGGGCAGTAACTTTGCCTTGGACCACTAAATTAGTTTAACTGTATAGTTAATAAACCAAAAAAATACCATAAGATGATTTTAAACAAATTCATTTTATCCTAATCAATGAACATCCCCAACTCAGAGGTCATATAGTGAGCCCTCCATACCCGGTGCATAGTAGATGCTTAATAAATGGATGAATGAATGAGAGGAATGAGTCTCCCAAACTGGAGATGGGTGACCATTCCATTTAAAGCACATGTAAATAAAGTAATTCATTCATCAGATGATTACTGACTGGATAGTCACCATGCAAGTCACCATGTCAGACTGTAAGGAAAAAGCAGAAATGAGTAAGACAGGTTTCTTGCTGTCACAGATCTTACCATTGTTCACTTGGATGAACATGTGTTCTAAAAAGGAACTGAAAAAGAGATTGGAATAAAGAAAAATGAGAAAAATAATATAAATTGCTAATAAGACCAAAGGTAGTTGAGCGTTCTTCACTAAGGCACTAACCTATGTAAAATGTTCTTTTGGGATGTAATTGATTTGAACTACTGATTCCTTATGGATGCCTTACTTCTCTCTGCTAAGCTTTATGGAAGGCACACCCAGCTCATCTTCTCTTTGAACAAAGGTAGACGATGAAATAATGAAATTCTGATTCTCTTAAGTGAGTTTTCTTCTTCCTTCCTTCTTTTCTTTCTTTTTCTGTCTTAGGACAACGTGGAGATGTACCTCTTTCAGAAACTGGTTTTAGACAAGCAGCTGCTGCTGGTGAATTTCTTAGTAATGTGAAGTTTACTCATGTTTTCTCGAGTGATCTCATGCGTACAAAACAGGTAAGTCTTTATTTGGGTTTTAATCCTTAGTAGCTGTATTGGCTTTTTTATGCCCAAAGCTATACATAACTGTTAGATCAGATCTTAAGTGTATTGTTGTGGTAATAGCTACTAAGGACTGAGAAATAAATAATATATTCATTTTTATTTTTAAAAAAGCTTTTGAATGCTACCATATATTAAATCTTTTCTCTACCTGTTAGATAGGTAGACCGCATAATAAAAGGAACATTTATTACACATAAGTAAATAAATCTATCTAGGGGTCTGCAAACTATGGCCTGAGGGCCAGTTCTGGTCCATTGCCTGTTGTACTTTATTTAAAAATGTAAAAACCATTCCAACCTCACAGGCCATACAAAAACAGAAAATGGGCCAAATTTGGTTCATGGGCCAAAGTTTGCTGATGCCTGATCTATATCAACACAAGGGTGAGATGAGGAATGTTAATTTTAGTCATTTAAGAGATGCATATCTCTCCTGTTTTGACCTTTGACCTATAGGTGAAATGGTGATTGTATTGAGATTGCATATAGCTTATTTTCATAGCTACTTAAAGCAAATTATTTATGAAAAGAGAACTAATTCACTTTATATTTTTAGACCACTGCCATGATTTTGGAGAAAAGCAGATTTTGTAAAGAAGCAACAGTGAAATATGATACAAGACTTCGAGAAAGAGTAAGTGTTGAGGATTCTTACTGTAGTGTTGGAACAGATAATTAATTTATAACGTGTGCTCTTCTAAAAATAAACCAAGAAGCTACTTTATTTGTAAAAATAATATAACTTTATACTAGATGACATGGTGTTTTCTGATGAAGTGATACTTGCAAAAAGCTTTGGAAGCTCTCCTATACTTTCCCCATATAGATTTTCAGTCCTATGCACCTTTATCTAAATATGCCAACAGTCTATTAACAATTTACTTCCTTCTGTTCTATAGAAATAATTTCCAACTTTTTCAAGTATATTAATCCATTTAAAAAGTTTAATTGATAGCTTTTGTGTTTTTTTTTTAAACCCAGAATAATTTTCTAATAGACCTTCTGCTCTGCATTGAACTATCTTTTGTAAGAGAGAAAAACAACTAAGTTAAAACAACCAACAAGGCAGCCTACTGTAGTACATCTTATACGGTATTTTTTAACTCTCTCAATAGAGAGATGATGTTTCACATGTTTTCCAGGACCAAGAATGAGGGCTACTTTTTTATTTGTTATTGTTGGTTTTTTTTTTTAATTAATTTATTTACTTTTAGTTTTCAGCATTCATCTCCATAAGATTTTGAGTTCCAGATTTTGTCCTAATCTCTCCTTTCACTTCACCCCAAGACAGTATGCAATTTTATATAGACTCTACATATACGTTCATATTGAACCTATTTTCACATTAGTAATGTTATAAAGAAGAATTAGAACCAATGGGAAAAACCATGAGAAAGAAGAAACAAACAAAAAAGAAAAAAAAGAGAGAGCAAATAATACACTTCGATCTCCATTCAGACTCCATAGTTCTTTTTCTGGATGTGGACAGCATTTTCCATCATGAGTCTTTTGGAGTTGTCTTGGATCCTTGCATTGCTAAGAAGAAATAAATCTATCAAAGTTAGTCATCACACATTGTGGCTGTTACTGTGTACAGTGTTCTTCTGGTTCTGCTCACTTCACTCAGAATCAGTTCATTCAAGTCTTTGCAGGTTTTTCTGAAGTCTGCTTGCTCATCATTTTTTTTCTTTTCTTTTTTTTGTTTGTTTATTTTTGTTTAAGCAGTGGGGTTAAGTGACTTGCCCAGGGTCACACAGCTAGTAAGTGTTATGTGTCTGAGGCTGGATTTGAACTCAGGTCCTCCTGAATCCAGGGCCAGTGCTCTATCCACTGCGCCACCTAGGTGACCCTCATTGTTTTTAGCACCATAGTATTCCATTACATTTATATACCACAACTTGTTCAGCCATTTCCCAATTGATGGGCATCCCCTCAATTTCTCATCCTGTGCCACCACAGAAAGAGCTGCTATAAATATTTTTGTACGTGTGGGTTCTTTTCCCATTTGTATGATCTCTTTGGGACACAGACATAGAGGACCACTTTTTAATGTAAAAAAAAATTCAGGGAGCCCCACAGGATAGTAGTGGTGCCATTAATTGAGAAGACATTGTGGTGAAATCAGAAGAGCACTGATTGGATTTAGAGTCAAGAAAACCTGATTTGGATCCTGGCCCTGCCACTTATTTCCTTTATTATTTTAAGCAAGTCACTTAACCCCTATGGGCCTTAGTTTCATATTCTGTGAAGAGAGATAGACTAAATAACTTCTCAGGTCCCCTTCATCACTAAATAGTTTATCTTCTTATGAAATATGCAATGACAAAATTACTGTGAATATAATAACACTTCTAAATGATTTTTTATTTTATTAATGACAAGAGCATCTACACTCATTTGAAAAATAGTAGTACATATATTTGAGAGGCAGTGTCATAGTGGATAGAAAGCTAGCCTTGGATTTGGGGAAAAACCCGAGTTCAAATCCTGCTTCTGACATACACTAGCTTTGTGATCTGGGGCAAGTTACTTAACCTCTCAATGCTCTAGGTAATGTTCTTGTAAGCCTGATTTGCAGAGCAGTTGTTAATCTTCATTGATTGAGGGAGTTTTCTTAACCTGGAAGTTCTCTACAGTAATGAAATTATAAATCTGAACCCTAAAAAAAAAACATATTGGTTCAAAGCATATCATTCATTTTTTCATTCTACAAAATGACCATGTTTGTTGCGCTTGAAAAGGCACACTCCCTCTTGCAGTCCCTCTTTGGAATCTCAGAAATCAGGGCCTCATGGCTTGGGAACCACTCATCTGATTTTTTATTTCTATCAGTGTATTCCTCATATTTGAGGGAAATAACAGCTTTTGGAATGGTCTAGAGCAGTACAAGATTGGGGTTCCCTAAATCACCTCTGATGTTAAAACCTAGTAAATGGCAGAATATAGTTTTGCTACTGTATTGAGAAGGGTCAACATAAATTTATGGTAGTGGACAACATGAATTTTATAATAAATTCATTGCATTCATCTTTAATTACAATTAGTAATTGAAACAAGTTCTATAAGCACTCTACCTCTTAATAGTCTATTATACAATATCCAGGTGATTAGTGTCCCTACTAGTTCTAGTATACTAACTGTTTAGTTATAAGGAAATCTCTTTTACAGATAGAAAGTGAATCAGACCCTGGGTCACATAGGTTGATTTTGGACTGAAGACCACATGTTAATTGCTGGGGCATAGAGTGACTTAGGCCTAGAGTCTTTCTCCCAGTAGTCATCCATTTTTCAATAAAAGAAAAACTTTTCTGATGCTAAATAGCTTTAATTCAGCAAATATTTATTAAACACCTGTGTGTGAAACATTGTACTAGGTTCTTTCAGTGAAACAGAGTTGAAATTAGATTGTCCTGCCCTCAAGGAGCTTACCGATATAGTGGACAGTTTTCTGGATAGTCATTAGGTGTGACACAATTGAACTCTTGATTGGGATATAGTAGGTAATCATTTGATATTCCTGCCAGACCTATAATTCAATGATTTCTGAGTGAAATGGAGCAGAAGAGCTGGAGGTTTAATTTTTTTTATCCAGTTTTAATGTTAAGTAGAACTTAGGCAACTTACAGTAGTATAAATCTTATTAAATAGTAATATTTAATCTTCTTTGTCTAGGGAACAATGGACTGAGATTCAGGATATCTGGGTTCTAGTCCCATCTCTGCCATACCTAGCTATATAACTTTAGAAAAATCACCTGGGCATCAATTAAGTTATCTAAATGAAGGGATTAGAGGTCCAAGGTCTTTTTGAGTTCTAAAAAATGCCTTCTCTTTTCACTCTGAATCCTAACCCCATTTGGGCCTTTAACCATCTATCTAGTGAGGGGCCTAACTATTTATGTAAAGAGAAGTGGAACAATCACTATCAGAGATGGTAAACAGTTTTAAAATTAATATATGTGTGTGTGTGTGTGTATGTGTGGTATCTATACATATATACACATACATGTATATATATATATGTGTGTATGTATATATACACACACATATGGTATAAGGTACCCTGGACAAGTCACTTAACCTCTGTTTGCCTCAGTTTTCTCAAATGTAAAATGAGAATAATAATAGCACCTTCCTTAGAGGATTGTGGGGAGGATCAAGTGAGATAATAATTGTAAAGTGTTTAACACAGTGCTTGGCACATAGTAAGCACCATATAAATGTTAGTTATGATGATGATGTCCCCAGAGTCTTATTCATATATGTATGTATGTATATAATATATAAAATTAGTGTTTCCTATGGATAAGTAGCACTTAGTTTTTAAGAAGAATTAAAGCAATGGAAATGCTGTTTTTTTGCCTTTCCATTTCAGAATGGGAATAGGGGGCGGGATGGTGCAAAGGGGGAAAGGACTTTGATTACATTTTCCCATTTCTATGTCAGTGGGGAATCTTAAGAGTGAAAGGGCAGTTCATTATGTATTTTTGGTAGCAAGTAAAAAATAGTTTACCTCACCATTGAATTTTTTTTTTTTTTGGATGTCATGTTAGAATCATGATGAGTTGTAGCTACTCAGGTTAAGGATAACTGGACTTGTGGTTTCCTTAATATCAGGAGCTCCTGGGTGAAGAAATTCCCTCTGTAGATGCAGGTCAGAATTGCCTAGAATACTGAGAAGTGAAGTATGACTTCCCTGGGTTATAGAGCCAGTACGTGTCAGCAGCAGAACTTGACTGAGTTTAACCAGCATTTCTTAGTTTCTCAGTCAGCTTTCTGTCGCTATTCCATGCTGCTTCTCTAGTGAGATTTAAAAATATTAGGTGATAATTTTAAAACTGCAATTCAGGACAAAAATCGAAGTAATTAAACCTGAGATGGTATATTCTTTATGTATTAAGTATGCAGAGGCTTTTAAAGAAAATCTAAATTGCAAAAACTTATTAAGAAGCAAGTAGTGGAATTGAAAATTGAGATCCCACTTTATTTGGTATTATTTTGTTGAGTCTTAATCCTTCTACTATGTATTAATAATCAAGATGTTATGTATTAGTTACTCTCTTAATATGTGAATTTGAACTCCTCAGGCCTGTAGCTGCAAGTTCCCCTCCTTAGGAGTTTCCAGACACAAAATTCTAATCCTGTTTTAATCTGTCAGAAATTGCTAGTATATAAACCGCAAGTGCCTTGTTCTCCCTCAGAAATTGCCAACCACAGTCCTTTGCAGAGGATGTCTGTCCACCTGGTGATAAGTTGATGTAATTTGTGGTTAGTGTCCTTAGCACTGACCAATCAGAAGTGAGATATACCTCTGTTGTGCCAGATTGACGTCATTGTCCATTTTAAGGTTCCTTTGTAAGACTATAAAAGAGATGCCATCATTGTCAGATGCATTCTTGGTTATTGAGGAGCCTTGGACCCCATTTATTGGCAGTTGCTAGCTTTGCTAATAAATTGATCATGCCTGGAACTCTGTGTCTCAATTTCTTTTTATCACCAGTTTTTAACATGAGTGTGGTCTTTTTATTTATTTTAATTAGTTCCAAAAAGTTAACTTGAGGACATGTTGGTGAGTAACTTAATCTAGTTACTTCTGGTTCTATATATTAGGTATATAGAACCATGCCTCTTAGTGAATCTTTCCTGGATGCATGATGATGAGAGTACTTATTTTCATTTTTAGTATGGAAGAGTAGTATGGAGAAACATCAGAAATGTGAGGCAGTTAAGCTTGCTATTTGCAAGCTTATTTATTTGTTTGGGCTATAAGTCTTGTATTAAAAATGGGTATTGTTGTGTTGCAAATACCTTAAATTACATTGTTATTTTACCTGTTGTACTGTTGCAGAAATATGGAATTGTAGAAGGCAAACCTCTGTGTGAATTAAAGGCATTGGCCGAAGCAGCTGGGGAACAGTGCCCTAATTTCACACCCCCCGAAGGAGAAACATTAGATCAGGTATGCTGCTACTTTTTGGAATTGCTATTTACACAAAATAACTAAAATTTGACTTAGTTATCAGTGGGCTAATATAAAATATATTAGTGTATATTGAGTTCATGAAGTGAAACATCTCCATGATAATAAAAAGCAGAAGCTTATTCTCCCTCTCCCTTTCTCCCCCGCTATTCACTGTCAGGTCCAGTAGGGTTTGATGAGTGGGTGTGGATAAACTGAGTATAAAATTGCTTCCTAGTACAGTTGGTGAAAATCCTATGATCATCTTAATACTGCTTTATGGTCTGTAAAGGATGAACTTATATTTCTGCCCTTTTATTTTTATATATATATATATATATATATAATTTTTTTTTGATGCTTTTATGCCCTATGTGAAAGTATATGAAATGATTCTTTTTAGTTCCACTGGAAATTATAAGAAATAAATGTTTCTCTAGTTTAAAAATCCTTTCCATACTTTTCCCCTTAGAAAGGTTGGTTAGGTTAAGAACAGATAACAAATGGATTAAGAGTGGTGAACTTGGGGGCAGCTAGGTAGCACACTGGATAGAGCACTGGCCCTGAAGTCAGGAGGACCTGAGTTCAAATCCGGCCTCAGACCAAACACTTGACACTTACTAGCTGTGTGACCTTGGGCAAGTCACTTGACCCCAATTGCCTTAAAAAAAGAATTGGTGAACTTGGAACTGAGTACTTCTTGTCTGGTTTAAAATTTTACCTTCCCTGCAATGGTCCAGTGACCCATCTTAGGACTTTCTTTTTCCTCCATCCTCAGTAGCTATGATGCAGTTCTCTTCATTGAGAAAGGACTAGGCTACTGATATCAGGAAGGAGGTCCCTTGTATCACTGCAAGAAGAACATTTAAGAAATTAAGTTGTGCCTTTTTTGGTAATGTTAACTCCAACTCTAGTTTAATATATTATCTATCTCTTCTTCAAACCCACCTATGAGAGTTATTTTTAGTTGTTGTGGAGTAGAGAAGAAAATGCCTGAGTGTTGGAAGAGCTATGACAGTTTGGACATTTCTATTTCTAAGCTAGAAATGGCTTAAATTTAAAATATCATTAAGTGAAAAACAAATTGTTTCTGGCATACTTGTGGCTAAAATACAGGACACAGTCTTAATATTTTTCTTTGATATTTAATACATGATTATTTTTATGAATTATTGTGGGATGTTAAGAAATGGGCATTATTTAATATTTCCATTCATAAATCAGCATAGGTTGGGCAAATATAATTTTTCCAACTATTTATTCAGCTCTGTATTTTCATTATCTTTCTTTTGGATTTATCCAGCTCTGAGAGAAGAATTTTAAAGTTTAATATAATCACGATATCGATATCTTTTTATGTACTTAGTGTGTTTAAGAATGTATTGTTTGATGCATATACAGTTAATGTTTTTCATTGATTCTTTTAAGGATAATAAGTTTTCCCTATTTGTCTTTTTTTTGGCATTAGAAATTTGTATTGTTGCCTTATCTGAGAGTTTAATTCCTTCTCGTTTTTTCATTTCTTTTAAAAGTGATTTTTATACATGACCATATTGATAACTTCTTTGGTTTATTTTTACTTTTTTTATTCTGAACTTAAGAAATACAACAAACATTTCTATAACGTAGTAGAATGGGGAAAAAAGATACTTATATATGAAACAGCAAATCTATTATGTACGACTTGCTGTTCTTTTAAATTATATAATAAAGTTATCATATAAACTTTATTTTTTTTTCCCTCCCTCCTTTTCCCCAGCCCTCCAGAGATGGCTAACATTAGACACATATATAATGTATGTATGTATGTATGTATGTATGTAAAACCATTCTATACATACTTCTATTTATCACTTCTTTCTCTGGACACAGATAGCATCTTTCTTCATAGGTCCTTTGTAGTCGTTTGGATATTTGTAATAGTCAAAATGACTTAGTTCTTAAAACAGTATTGCTATTACTACGTGCAATGTTCTTGGTTCTGCTCATTTTGCTCTTCAATATTTCTTGCAAGTCTGTCCATGTTTTTCTAAGGTCATCAAGCTTATAATTTCTTATAGCACAGTAGTATTCCATTACCATCATATACCACAACTTGTTCAGCAGTTCCCTAGTTGATGGACATCCCTGCTATTTCTAGGTTTTTGCCTTCACAAAGAGAGCTGCTATAGGTACTTTAGAACAGATAGGTTCTTTTCCTTTTTCCCTAATCATCTTGGGAAACAGACCTAGTAGTGGTACTGCTGGGTCAAAGGATATGAGCAATTTAATAACTCTTTAAGCATAATTCCAGATTACTCTCCAAAATGGTTAGATTAGTTCCCAGTTCCAGCAATAGTCAATGTGTCACAATTTTTCCACATTACCTCCAACATTTGTCACTTTCCCCTTCTGTCATTTTAGCCAGTCTTATAGGCATAAAATGATACCTCAAGGTTGTTTTAATTTGCATTTCTCTAATCAGTAATGATTTTAGAGTCTTTTTCATGTGACTATAAATTGTTTTGATTTCTTCATCAGAAAGCTGCCTGTTCATATCCTTTGACCATTTATCAATTGAGGAATGACTCATATTTTTCTGAGTTTAATAAAGTTTTTTTTATCTCATATTTGGGATGACAGACCTTTATCTGAGAAACTGTCTATAAATTTTTCCCCCAATTTTCTGCTTTCCTTCTGATCTTCACTACGTTGGTTTTATTTGTACAAAACCTTTTTAATTTAACATAATCAAAGTAATCCATTTTATACCCCCACTGTTCTCTCTCTCTTGTTTATTCATAAATTATTCTCCTGTCCATAAGTCTGGTAGATAATATGTCTCATGTTCTTCAAATTTTCTTGTAATATCTCCCTTTATACATAGGTCATGTAACCATTTTGACCTTATCTTGGCAAATGGTGTAAGATATTGGTCTATGCCCAATTTCTGCCAGACAGCTTTCCTGATAATTTTTACCAAATAGTGAATTCTTATCCCCAAAATTAAGTCTTTTCACTTGTTAAACACAAGAGTACTGTAGTCATTTACTGTTGTAAATTGTATGTCTACTCTGTTCCACTGATCTACCTTTCTATTTCTTAGCCAGTACCAGATAGTTTCATAACGTTTTTGGAGGTGATTTTTTGGTTGCTTTAGCTTGAGGTTCTGAGATTTCGCCAACCATATATTCTTTTGTTGTACTGTACTTTAATAGGTCCATTGCATTTTCTTTTTTTTTCCTTTGTGTGATCAAGAGATAAAATGTTCAGATTTATCATGTTTGGTTTAATTTTTGGTTAATTTCTATTTCATGCAAATTTTGAATTTATAGTAATAAATTAGAGAGTTCTTATTATGAAAGAAAGCATCAGGACATGGAGATTCTGATAGGAAAATAGCACTAGAATAATTTATTACAAAATATATACTCAGATGTCATGGTGTACCAAAGAAGTCCCAAGGAGTTTAGAATTTTCTGGTTTTAATTATATACATATTTAGGAAAAAATATCCTTTGTCATTCTTGTTACTTTGCCTAATCCTGGTCTGCTGAGAAATATACAAAAAAGAAGTCTAGACCAGAGGTAGGGAACCTGTGGCCTGGAGGCCACATGTGGCCCTCAAGGTTCTTGAGTGTGGCCATTTGACTGGATTTAGTCAAAGGACCTAGAGGCCTTTGACATGTGGCCTCCAGACCACAGATTCTCCACCCCTGGACTCTAGGTAGTGTAGAAGAAAAAAATTAATTCTATACTCTGTGTTTTAGGCACAGGTCTGCCAGAAACTCATTAATTTAACATAAATATAATATCCAAGCCATTTCTGGCTTAGAGAGTTTTCCAAATTGGCATATTCTTCCTATGCCCTCCACTGTAACTAAACCTGTGAGAATTTGAGGTCACATTCAGAGGAATCTCGAATAAGGAAAAGATGATAATATATTAAAATATAGTTTTGGGTTAATATTCCAGAACTGTAGTCACTAATAAGTTCCTTAGTTAACTGCTTTTCTCACTACTGGAGAAAACAAAGGGGATCTTTTACCTCTCATTAGTATCTTAAAATTTTCTGCACGGAGAAGGATGGGCCATAGCATTGGTGAAAATACAAAAACAACAATGAAACAGTTCTTTTCCTTCTAGGCACCTACAAAAAATATACTGGTAATGGAAGTATAGGCAGAAATCAGGGAATACCTAAGGATTGGAGGTCAAGAGAAGCTGGGAAGGTCAGAAACAAGGTAGGACATGAATGACCATGCAGACCTTCAAAATTCTGCTTCAGACAGAAATCCTATTAAAAAGTAAAGTAGGGACAAATAAAAAGGCTTAAGGAAAGGTGTCAAATTGAAGAAATACCAAGTAGGATAACTTGGAAGGTGGAGATAATGGGTAGTCACAGATGTCAGCAGACCTTGGCAAATGCTTTTGCTATGTTTAACTTGGTTTTTTAAACAAATGAGATTAATCTTGCTTAGCTTTGTCTTTGTATCCCCAGGGCTGAGCGCAGAGCCTGACACATAGTTGTTCAATAAATCCTTGAATATTTGTTGAATTGATAAAATTTGTCATGTTTTCCTAGCTTACCTGATATGTATCATAGTTCCTGGAATATGATAAATGCTTAATAAATGTTTGTAGGTTGATTAATTGCCTATTATGTGTGCAGCTTGAAAGGCTGACATAAAACCTTTAGCATTTCAATGTGTTAGTATTTCATGACCAGTGCAGCTATTACAACCCCTGTAGACAGTTACCAAGAGTTGCTGTGAATGAAAAATGTTGCCAACTTCACTGAACTTTAGCAAGGCCAGTCCTCGAATGATAGTCATTGTCAGACTTCTATTCAGAGCCTTCTTCTAGCTTAGTATAGAACTTGATAGAACTTGTGCTGCATTGTCATAAACTTAGTATGGCTTCTGCCATAGTGATGCATCAGAGAAGGACCTTTTTTTGGATTGGATCTCTGATTCCATTGGTTTAGGGAACTTCTGCTAAGGAAACCCCTTATAGTCTTTTGTGTTGGCACCTGCTCTGCAACATACAGGGTTAGTCTTTTTGACTGGGACACTGAACCATTAAGTGATTTGCCTAGAGCCCCCCATCTTCAGTATATATCAGAAGACTTGAATCTAGGCCTCCTTGACTTTGAAACTAATTCTCTATCCACTACTCTGTGATAAAAGTCAAAGTAAAATAAAATCAAATAACGCAAATCATGTAGATGTTTTAAACAGATGAACAAATTAGGTAAGTGGTAGTGCCCCCTATACTCTGTGTTAGTCACCACATCTTGAGTACCATGTGTAGTTTGGGGAAACACATTTTAGAGGACATTGATAGCTTGGGCCTTCTCTAGAAAAGAAACCACTCTCTTTAAATATTTAAAGAGTCATCTTTCTTGAGAAAGAGGAGTTAGACATAAACTCTTGGTCTCCAGAGGGACCAGGGACCAGGGAACAGGAACAGGTAAACGTTTGAGAAAAATAAATCTTGCCTCAACATAAGGAAGAACTAACAATTACATTTCATAACCTAAAATCTAATGGATTCCTTTATGAGATAGTAGATTCTTTGTTTCTGGAAGAAAAGGGCTGGGTGATCACTTACCTATTAAGCATCTTGGGGAAAGCAATTTATGCTGCAGGCTTGACTTGATCTAAATGACCTCTGAGGTCCCTTTTAATTTATAAATCTGTGATTTGGATGAACAAGTCTTTAATTTTAATGAAATGTTAAAAAGGGATTATCAAAGCTAGAAGAGCAGTCAAGCCACTTTTCTTATTGGAAATTCTTCATTTATTTGTTTGTTTGTTCATAGGTGAAATCACGAGCAAAGGACTTTTTTGAATTTCTTTGTCAACTGGTGTTGGATGAAGCGGATCAGAAAGGACACCCCACGTCAGGAATAATAGACAGTGGCCTGGAGGCCTTTCTAACAGAAACATTTCCATTAGGAAGCAATTGTGGACCTGATCTTAATTCAGACAGTGTTGCCCAAGTGTTAGATGCTAATATATTGGTGGTAAGTCATGGGGCTTACATGAAAAGTATGTTTACTCATTTTGTGGTTGATCTGGAGTGTATCTTACCAGCAAATCTAAGCAAATCTGAATTCAGTTCAGTCAGCCCCAATACAGGGATCAGTCACTTTATAATAAATATAGAACAAGATACTAAAGGAATTAAAACAACCATGAAGTGCATTTGTATTAATCTGCAGGATCACCTAGCCAAAGTGACAGAAAGTGCCTAGGCCCAAATAAATCATTAGGATTTTCATATTTTTGTGTCATTGAGTCATTTTGTGTCACCTTGTTTCCAATAGTTATATTCCAGATGCTTAAAAAAGCTTTCAGAAATAGGTTATAAAGTTCAGGTGGAAAGGTAGTACATAAAAACACTAAGTAAATCCCGGGGAATGAGTTAAGGTATGTTTTGAATTCAACTACTGGCATTTTCCAAAAGAAATGCCACAGTTTCCTGCCAGGTATTGACTTTGAATAAAAATGGAAATGTCCATGTTGATGAAATCCAGTGTTGTCAAATGAAGTATTATAACTTCGTTATGATTTTGAAATATAATTTGTTGTCACAGTATTGAATGTATTTCTTTATCGTACTAAATGTTAGCACTGAGGATGGTTATTTTTTAATAACACTACCACAGTTTATAAAAGAATTGCTTATGTCTAAGGACTTTTTTCCTTTTTTTCCAATTGTGACTTGATTTTGCAGCTAACTTATCAAATCATGTTTCTTGTTTTGTTCTACTTTGTTTCTTCTTATGTTGATGTTTGGGTTTTTTACAGCTGAAAATAAATATAGCCTATGTGATTGGCTTTTAGTGAATAACATACTGTATATTTCATGACCATTTTTTTGTGGTTGGAAAAAGGAATTATTATGAAATGTTGTCTCCTACTTTAGAGTGCCTCTCTATGCTGAAGAAATCTACTTTATGAATAAAACGTTTATCAACATGAAGATTATGAAAAATAAAGTAGTATTAATATTTCTTGTGGAGAAAATAGTTTGAGCCATTTAGAAATAAGATTGTTTAGGAAGAATAAGGAAAACCCAAATTATTAGTCCCCTCTTTTGTCCATTGCAGGTAAGAGTGAGGCTCATCTGATGTTCACTCTTCTTACTTCCCTTCTTTCTTAATGGTATACGTTCATTCTCGAGCACCCCACTTATAAGAAATACCAAGTTCCTTTGGTCTTCTATTTATAGTTGCTCTCCTATTCCTTTTATCCTTCCTTCTCTTTCCCCTCTTAAAACTCTCAAAGCACAACTGATCTATCCCCTCTCCCCCACCCCCTCCCCCCAGCCCAGGACCTCTGCTTTTCTTATTTAACTCTCCCGGTACCCTTTGAAGACATTAAAATTCTGGAGGGACACTTGTTTCTTTTCCTTCTATCAGAATGTTACTATTACATCATCATATAACTCCTTCTGGTTGCTCAAATAAATTCGCCTATCGGTTTCTCTGGACTCTTGTATTTGTATTTTTTCTTTAACAGCTTTTATTTTTTATTCATATCTTATTTATTAAGCGTTATTTTTTCTCCCCCCTCCCAGAAAAACACTACCACCACCACCACCACCACCTGTATGACACATATGCATAGTAAAGCAAAACAAATCCCCCCATTGGCCATGTCAGAGAATATGTATCTCATTCTGCATATTAGTCCTTACACCTTTGACAGTAAGTGGGTATCATTCCTTTGGAATCATGGTTGGTCACTGCATTGATCAGAGTTCTTAAGTCTTTCAGAATTCTTTTCTTTTTACAGTGTTGTTATTCAGTTGTTCTTCTGGCTGTTTGCTCCACATCAGTTTATTCATCTTCCCAGACTTCTCTGAAATCATCCCCTTCAGTGTGTCTTAGCAAAATGGTATTTTATTACGTTCATATGCTGTAATATATTCAGTCTTTCCCCAGTTGATGGGCATCCCTTTAGTTTCTAGTTCTTTGCCACTATAGAAAGAGCCACTATAAATATTTGTGTATATAGGGGACCTTTTTCTCTTTGATCTCTTTAGGGGTATGGGCCTAGTAGTTATATTGCTGAATTTAAAGGGTTTTCACAGTTTACTGACTTTTGGGCATAGTTCCAAACTGCTTTCCAGAATTGTTAAACCAATTCACAGCTTCGCTTGTTTTCCCGAAGCCCCTTCCACCATTTATCATTTTTCTTTTTTGTCAATATTGCCAAATTAGATGTGAGGTTGAACCTCAGTTGTTTTAGTTGACATCTAATTATTAGTGATTTGGAACATTTTTTTGTGTAACTGGAGATAGCTTGGATTTCTTTGAGAAATGTTTGTTCCTGTTCTTCAACTATCAATTGAGGAACGGCTTTTACTCTTACAAATTTGAATCAGTTCCACATATGTCTTGGAAATGAGCCCTTTGTTAAAAAAAACTTGTTACAAAGTTGTTTTTTTTTTCTCCAGTTAACTCTTTCCTTTATAATCATACTTCTATTGGATTTTTTGGGGCAAACCCTTTTAAATTTTATGTATTCAAGATTGTACATTTTATCTTTTGTGATCCTCTCTAGTCCTTGTTTAGTCATGCATTTTTTTACCAATCCAGTATCAAATTGTTTTGATGACTAATGCTTTGTAATATAGTTTGAGATCTTTATTACTGGACCTCTTTCTTTCGTACTCTTCATTATTTTCTTTGAGATTCTTGATCTTTTTCTTCAGGTGAATTTTTTTCTTTACTTCTAGGAAGTAATGCTTTGGTAGTTTGATTGTTATGGCACTGAATAAATAAAGAATAAAGAAGAATAAAAATAAATAAAAATAAAAATTACTTTAGGATAGTATATTACACTTGTATTTCAGAGTTCCCACTCAGCTCTGATCTTTTCATCAGAAAAGCTTGGAAACTATTCCTTTAAAGGTCCATTCCCCTATCATCACCCCCACCCCATGTACTTATAGTCAGCTTTGCAGGCCAAATTATTCTAGACTGGAAGTTTGTTTTGCCTTTTGAAATATTGTATAGCCAGCTCTCTTCTTAATTTTAGTAATAGCTACCAGGTCTTGTGTCATTCTTACCTGGCCCTCTGGTATTAGAACTGCTTCTTTCTGGATGCTTATTCTTTCTTTCTCCTACCTATTCCAGTCTAACCTTGGAAAACAAACAAACCCTTTTAAGAAATTTGCTTGGTTTTTTTTTTTTCAATATGAGAGTTCTAGATTTTGGCTCTGACGTCTCTGATAACTTTTCCTTTTGGGATTTCTTTTAGGAAGTGATTGCTGGATTCTTTCTTCACCTTACCCTCTGGTTCTAATAGATTTGGGCAGTTTTCTTTATAATTTCTTAAAATATAGTGTCTGGATTTGTTTTTTGTTTTTGTGTTTTTTTTAAATAATGGTCTTCATGGAGTCTAATGATTCTTAAATTCATTCTTGTTAATTTGCTTTCTAGGTCACTTGTTCTTGATAATCAGGTCTCTAGTATTTTCAATTTTTAAAAATCTTTTGATTTTGTTCTAATATTTCTGACTGATCACGAAATCATTGATTTCTGTTCTATTCTGGTTTTCAAGGAATCCATTTCTTGGATAAATTTTAATTTTTTTCTTCTAAGCTATTTGTTCTCCTTTTAATTCTTTGCCCGAAGAGCTTTTATTTCATTTTAAAAATTTCTTCTAATTATTCCTGTAGTCCTTATGGAGATTTTTCCCTTTGAGTCATTGCTTGTAGCTGTTGCAGAGTTACTGTCTTTTGGAGGGATCTCTAGATTTGCAATAATTTTTTATATTGGTCTATGAGAGTACTAAGAATTGTATAATTGTATAATCTGTGAACTCTGGCTTATGGTGAATTTATGGGAGGACATGAACAAGAGTTGCACAGGATGGGTAGACATGGATGGATTGTGGTCAGTATCATATCAGGATCCATGAGAGAATGGATTCATTTGTGTATACATGTGGGCCTTAGACTGTGGGCCTTGTCATAGGTTGGATTATGCCAGCCAAGGACTGGCCTGGCTCAGTTGACAGGTTCAACACCTGAAGATTTTCTACTAGCTGTTGTATTTTTTGCTCATAGCAGCCTCTACTAAAAGGTGGAAGAATTGGAAACAGCTTTATTGTATATCCTTATTTATTAAGTTGGTCTACTGTAAGACTCTACAGGGTACCATTAAGTTACCTTCTGGTTCTTGTGAGTAGTTTTTATTGTAATGACTTGACTTTTAAAATTGCATCTTTTTTTAAGGGGATCACATCAGAGTTATAGTTGATTCAATGTTGAAATTCTGCAACATTCTCTTGTATTTGGTACTTTTGCCTATAATGATTTTAAGGGATCAATCTAAGAGCTTTTTTATAAGCATTCATTTAAAAAAATTTGAGTTCCAGATTCTCCCCTCTAGGTCCTCCCCTACCCATTGAGAAGGCAAGCAATATGATTCATATTATACATGTGAAGTCATGCAAAACATTTCCATATTATGCATATTGAAAAAAAAGGCAAGGAAAATAAAGAAAATAGGAAAAAAGTATGATTCAAATTGTACTCAGAGTTCATTCTTTCTGAATGTGGATAGCGTTTTTCATCAGCATAACTCACAAGCATAATAAATTCTGTTCCAGTCCTTTATTTTAACTCTGTGTGTCTCTCTGTTTCAAGTGTGTTTCTTGTAAACAATATATTGTTGGATTCTGATTTCTAAAGCGTCTTGCTATCCACTTCATCCCATTCACATTCATTGTTGTGATTCATAACTGTGTATTTACCTCCATCCTGTTTTCTGTTTATCCTCCTCAAAAGTATATTTTGCTTCTGACTATTGCCTACCTTAATCTATCCTCCCTCTCATCACGTACCACTTGCCTTTCTCTTAATCTATTTCCATTATACTTCCCTGTTGGGTAAGGTGGATTTCTATACCCAAGTCTGAATGTGTATTCATATTCTCCCCTCTTTGAATCTAAGTTTAGATGAGAGTGAGGTTGAAGCATTATTCACCCCTTCTTCTTTTCCCCTTCACTGTAAAGTTCTTCCTTGCATGCCTGTTATATGTGAGATAATTTTCCCCATTCTTCCTCTCCTATGGTCTTCTCCCAGTACATCCCTTTTTTTCTTCCTTCTATTTTAATTTGAGATCATCTGAATAAAATAGATTCGTGCCTGTGCCCTCTAAGTAGATGCCTTCTAACCGCCCTAATGATGATAAAGTTCTTGGAGATTATACGTATCATCTTCCCATTTGGGATTATAAACATTTTAACCTTATGAAGTTCCTCACGATTTCTTACTCACATTTGCCTTTTTATGCCTTTCTTGAATCTTGGGTTTGAATGTCAGATCTTCTCTTCAGGCCTGGTCTTCACATCAGTAATGCCTAGAAGTCCTCTTATTTCATTAAATCTCTATTCCACCACCAACCCCCCCCCCCCCCAGATGACACTCATTTTGGCAGGGTAGGTTATTCTTGCTTGTAAATAATGGTAGCTCCTTTGCCTTCCTGAATATCACATTCTAAGCCTCCCACTCCTTTATTTAAACATAGTAGATCTTGAATTGCTTCTTTCTGGCTGCTTGCGGTATTTTTTTCATTGACTTTCCTGTGCCCAGTGCCCACACGGGAGTCCCCTGTAATCTTTTTCTGACTGGGTGTCTGACTTATGTCTCTGAGCAGGGAGAGCTCCTGGTATTAGTTCTGTTGCTGTTGTTGCCATAGCTGCCTCCAAGGCCCACAGCTAGTGTCCCTGCCGTGCTTCTGGCCAGCTCCCACCCCAGTGTCACAGACCTTTCCTCCCAACTTCCAAAGTTGTCCCAGGCTAGAAAAATGTCTCACCCCAGCCTTTTGTTGGTTATGCCACTCCAGAATTCTATTTGATGCATTATTTTAAAATTGGTGGGAGGGGAATGTTGGTAGAATTGTTAGAATGCCCTCTCTATGCCACCATCTTGGCTCTGCTGGCCCCCATGGTGTTTTAAAAATGTATTTTAGATATTTTTAAAATAGTTTTTCAATTAAGAAGCATTTCTTTTTCTCCCTCCACCTGCCTCCAGTGGGGGGAAAAACAACTTTTGTAACAAATACACAGTCAAAACAAATTTCCACATTGCCTGTGTCCAAAAATACGTGTCTAATTCTGCATCTTGAATCCATCACTTCTTTCCAAGGACATCTGGGTAGCATGTTTAATCATTGTTCCTCTGGAATCATAGTTGATCATTGTGTTGATCAGAATTCTTGTCTTCTGAACCTTTTCATTATTTACAATGTTATTGCATAAATTGTTCTCTTGGTTCTGCGCACTCACTCTGCTTCATTTCATATGTCTTCCCAAGTATGGCATGATTGTATTCTATTACATTTAGATAGCATAATTTGATGGACATCCCTTGAACTTTCTCGTTCTTTTCCACTATAAAAAGAGCTGCTATAAATGTCTTTTTGTGTTTGTGGATCCTTTCCCTCTTTCTTTGATCTCTTTGGGGTATAGGCCTAGGAGTGGCATCACTGGGTATGATTTGGGATACAGAGTATACACAGTTAAATAACTTTTCAGGCCTAGTTCCAATTGTACAATTATTCCAGAATGGCTTGGTCAATCCTAGTCCCACCAGCAGTACGTTTATGTTTTTCCATTTCCTCCAGAATTTGTCATTTTCCTTTTTTTGTAAATTTGCTAGTCTGATGAGTGTGAAGTGGAACCTCAGAGATGTATTTCGGTCATTCACTTAGCAAAAGGGACTTGTTTCAAATCTATATGAAACAAGAAATAACTTGTGTGACATCTGTGTGCCCCACAAGTGTTAGTTGGGATACTGCTGTAGAAGCAACCCACATTAGCTCATATATTGCCTTAAGCCTCTAGAAAGGCATAGTAATCTTGCAATCAGGTGTAATATCTGAGGTGCTTACTTAGTGGCATTCTCTTTGAATGACCAGCCTAGTAGCTCCCTACTTCCTTTCTGGTGTTTTGCCTTTTAACGGCCTTCCTAAAGCCTGTAGTATCCCCATAGGTCACTAGAGGGCGCTCAGGTTGCAAGTGTCCCGGCTTTTCTCTGGCTCTGACGGTCAGGTTTGGAGTTATATGATGGAATATTACTCAAAATATTTAAAAAATGCAAACTTTATGGCTTAGAAACCCCCAGCCCATCTTTAGGCTTTCCTTTCTAGTCACAACTCCCCTAAAAGTCCTTTCCCACCCACCCATCCCGCCCCTTCACAGAACTAAGATATCCAAATATAATGTGGCTTCATGGTTTATTTAGCTGTGAAAATTGGAAGAAAGAAAAAATAAGTTAATTATTCTCACATAGAACCATATTCCACCAGCCATCTTCTAACACTTTTCCCTCTTGGCCTCTCAGTATTTCAGATATAGCCAGGAGACTCCTCAGTTCCATTTGCCTGAAGCTGGTAGAAAGGAAGTGTCTGTGTTTGGGGAGGAGGACTGGGATAGGGAATAGGTCTAGGACCCCTGCTCCATATCACAGGCTATACCAGAGGAAATAAGGAGAATATTGGTGAGAAGCTCTCTACCCCAGTATGTGTCATAATAGCCAGGGATCCAGGATTGACCTAGATTGCCTCCAAGTACAGGTCTGATAATCTTGGTCATTTGAATGCCTAGCTGTGACATCAGCTGTAGTAATGGCTCTAGTTAAGCTGTCACTTTATGGAATCTTTATAATTTCAATCTACCACCCAATCAGAATTGTAGTAACTATTGTATGCAGACATCCAAATCACTCTCATTCTTTCCTAAATAAATTCATTTCTTGGTTCACAATTTTTCCCAATTTCTTCTCTCCAACTCCTGCCCTCATATTAGGCGACTTCACCATATATACTCACTTTCCCTCAGATACCCTTACTCAGTTTTTCAGCCTGCTTATTTCCTGTGACTTACTCCTGCATCCCACCTCAGCCATACAAAAATGGTCATTACCCTTGATCTTGCTTTCACCCACAAATGCACCACCTTCATTTTCAAGAATTCCCAAATCCTCTTATGTGACCATAATCTATTAGCTTTATGCCTTTTTCTCTGTCTTCTCTTATCAAATCCTACTTTTGGTCTACACTGTGACCTCCAATCCTTTGACTCCCTCAGTTTTGGGCACCTCTATAACTTTGGGCATCTCTCTGTGTCTCTGCCCTCATCTTTAAAATGAAGGCTTTTTACAGGGTTTCTTTGGACTAGATCATTTCCAAGGCTGCTTCCAGTTCTAAATTCTATTTATATTTGACTGTGCCAGTCTCCGAGGCTCTCTTAGACTTACCCTTGTCCCTTTATTTATGAAACAACAGAAAGAGACTTTACTGAAGCTGAGAAAAAGTTTATTTTTCCTCTTAAAGTAAAAGCAAAGAAACAAGTGGGAGTACATCATTATAAATATCCATAAATATCAAGTGATAGACAAAATCTAAATAAATAAATAAATACTTTTACTTCCAAAGGAACGCTTCTGGAATTATATGGGGTTTCTCTGCTCTGCCAAAGAGAGGCCTCCCTGATGCTGCTGTTAGTCCTATAGGACTCAAACTGGTCAGCTATAGAAGTGCTTCTTGGTTTCCCATCCATTTCTAGTGTCAGGGACTCGACAGGAGTGGATATTGGTGATTCTACACCAGAATGAGTATATTTTAAAAATCTGCTGTGCGAAGGGCAGCTAGGTGGAGCAGTGGATAGAGCACTGGTCCTGGAGTCAGGAAGACCTGAGTTCAAATCCAGCCTCAGACAGCTGACACTAACTAGCTATATGACCGTGGGCAAGTCAACCCCAGTTGCTGCACCAAAAATAAAAATCTGCTGTGCACTGCTGTTTAGTGTTGTGCATAGTTTTGTTGTGTATTCCAGAGTAGGGACTTTAAGCTCACCTTAAAAAGAAAAAAAAATCAGAGGACTCTTGTTTCTCTAGAAAGTGTAATAGAAGATTCAGGCTCCAATAGTGAGAATGTGATAGGAATGAAGGAAAGTAAACAGAGGAGTGAGGCCTTGTCTGAATCTGTTGTGCTATTTGATATCATTTGTCTGCACTGACTACCTTAGGGGAAGATTTAGAAGAAGAGAGAGGGGCCCCAGGTAGGAAGATTCAAAGTCAGAAATGGAAGGCTGGATCAAGAAGACCTAATAAATGAGGGTTTAGCCCCAAAGTCCAAGATTTCTAGAATCTCCATATTTTGTGTCCTGTACTAAATTTTTTTTGGCATCATATCCAGAAATCAGGATAGCCTTGGGGAAGTGAAGACTAATAATGGTCATCCTTAGACTGATATTTTATTTACTGTTTCTAGACAGATTAGCCCAAGACTGATAACCAGGTAGTTTCTCAGGATTACCTTTGGGGTTGGAAAATGAAAGGATTCTAGCTTTATAGGTCTCATCCTGATTTGCAAAGGAGGAGGGGAGTAATGAAATGGTATGGATCCAACAGAAAAGCAAAGATTGGCCCCAGGGTGGGCTAGAGTTTGTCTGTCTACCATAGAACCAAGTCTTAGTTGTTTCACAACCAGTGTACGCCTTCCCACCATCCTCCATTCTTCATCTTCAAGCTAAGGGAGGTCACAGAAGTGATGCTTTTAGTGTGAAGGGACTCGGCAAACTGGGAGTTAATGGAAGGTGGTGGGTGATGTTTTAAGAAATCCACCTTTAAGGGAATGCTTAAGCCAGTGCAGCAGGAGGGAAAGAAAGCACACATTCCTAGCCCATTAAGAAGAAAAAAGATAGGGATCTCACTGTCTTATATTCCCTTACCCTCTTTGACTCTTTCTCCAGATTTCCCACTGATTATCAATAGAATTTAAACTCCTTTTGTTTTTGTATCCCTGAGGCTTAGTACAATGCCTTACAAATAGGAGTCATTTAATAAATTTTTGATGAACCAAATTGAATCAGAGATACACAGCCTGGTCTGAACTCAGAGAACAACTTCAAGACTGAAATTGGCCATTGAGAAAGACCCTCAGACATCTGCTGAGCCACAGAAAACCTTGAATGCCTTCTCTCTGTACACATGAGCATTTTTATGGCCATCCAGAATAGTATTGCTAACCCTGGATGAGGAAGTTTGTTAAAGATTTCTCTGAAGAGTTCACATTTATTCCTATTGTAAAGAGAAGCTGTAGACTGAACTGAATTGCCTCAAATTAAGGTCAGCTTAAAAAAAAATTAGTAGACTGGTAAAATACAAAGGTCCAGTGTTCCTCCAAAAAGTGCATAGAGTGTTTTGATTTTCAAGACTGGAAATGTCTTAGCTTCTGTCTTTGCCTGACTTTTGCTAAGCTTGGACATGACCCCCTGGCCTAGCCTATGATGTAATAAGGGAATGAATGGCAATGTATGTTACCCTGTCAGGGAACTGTGGTATGTTTCCTGGTACCTTCTTGGTACCAACCATGGATATAATTTTTCAATATTAACCAACTTTCACTCATTTTTTTAAAAACACCTCCCAAGGGGTGCCTCTTAGAAGGGTTGCTTAAGGAGTAAGATAAGTGAATTTAAGGTTTACCTTATCAGGATAGTAACTTGTCATAAGCAAATAGAGAAATGACTGTTTATAAGGTGATATCTCAAGATTATCTGTGGGGTTGGGGAATCAAAGGATTTTTAGGCTTCAGATCTCATCCTGATTTGCAAAGGAGGAAGAGCATGATGAAAGGGTTATAAACACAGAAGAGCAAAGGGTGGCTTCAAGTTGGGCAAAGTTTGGCTGTCCACTTTAGGACCAAGTCTTAGTATGTTTTTCAGCCAGTATACTCCCCCACAACCCAGCATCTTCCATCCTTTATCTTAAACTGGAGGAAGCCACAGGAGTGATGCTATTAATATGTCAAAACTTGTTGAAGGCAAAGCCTCTAACAGTTGATTGAAGATGGAGACCATTCACATTAGGGTCTTGATTGGAATGTCAGGTGCAGAGATGCAAAAGAGAGCAGAACTCTACCACTTAGGCTAGGGATAAGGTCCTAAGTCTTAGCACACTATTCCAGGTTTAATTCCCATAAGGGTCATAAGATAGGAAAGGGGAAGAAATAGTTGATCTCTCCCTTGTTCTTTAAGGTTTAAAGAGTTCTGGGCCCTTTAAAGATGGGCTAGCTGCTAACAAGAAGAATCAGGGATGCTTAAAAGGGATTTTATTGTAGTCCAGTTAAGCAGCCTTGGGGACATGGAGGCATCTTTCCAAACTCATCCTACCAGGGTAGGGCTTCAGTCGATTGCTATTTCTGAGTACTTCTAAAGGGTCATCATCTACTACACTGTTCTCTTCAGCACTGTGAAGTTCCTGGGAGCAGGGAGTCACCCTTGGTCGGGGTTTCAGCACATTCATTGGGTCCAAGTCAGGACTGTTCTCAGCGCTCCTGGTATGTCGATGGGGTTCAGGTGTGTTGAAGTAAATTATGGGGATCTCATTCCTCCGAGATAGAAACTGGGAGTAAGGGGGTGGGTTCATGCCTGGCAGGAAGGCCCTCTTTGCCTTGCCAAGGCTGATCAGGAAGTTGTTCTGTGGAGAGTGATAGACGTCATATCCATTTTCTAGTGTCCGGTGTTTGAACCTGCAGTTGTCTGGGTTGAAGAAATGCTGAAAGGACAGAGAAGGAACCAGATGAAGGCTGGTTTAATAACTTTTTCCAGCTTCAGGGTCGACATAGAAATAGTATCACATTTATGTATCACATTAAAGTCTGCTGAGCACTTTCCCTTCAGTCCTGTGAGGTAGTTAGTGTAAGCATTAGATTCATTTTATAGATGAGGAAATGGAGGCTCAGAGATGTTCTGTGACTTGTCAATGGTTGAAAAACCATTAGGAATGGAGCTGTGATTCTAATCTAAGCTTCCTAATTCCTGAGACAGCACTTTTAAATGCAAGGCACCACCTCTTTGCAAGATAGGCTTGAGACCTTGTGATGTATTCCCTATTGTAACATCAGGCCATTTGGGTTTATAAAACAAAAAAGAACTACTCAAAACTCAAGTTGCTGGTAGTCATGAAGACAAGGGCTACAGAGTGCCATGGTTATTAAGTAGTGTTCATGGCAGCCAACTGAGTTCTGTGATAGGAGAAAACCATTCTCTTCCTGTCTTGGGTGTGTTGGCCTCATCCTTTTGCTTTAGGATCTACTGTAGGGTCAACTATATTGAAGGGTGTGTATTCAGAATAGGTTATTTGTCAAGGTCAAGGGAATAATTACCTTGGATCCCCAAGACAATTCTTTCTAAGGTATTTGAATATCTGGGTAAATGTGTCTTCCTCCACCCAAGCTTATCGTGTACTTAATTATGAAAGCTAACACCGGGCATCCCTCTGGTTCCTCCAGTCCACATTACTACAGAGCCAGCTCACTGAAGCAGGTGATGGATGAGGAAACCTGGAGGGGAAGCTTGTAATATTAGACAGCAGGGATAGAGCAAGAGAGTTCTGCCCTCCCCACCCAGGGAAAGGTTGAGAGTTAGGGAGAGAAGGAAACATGGGACAGGATTCTAGTTAAGGAAATTGAAGTTATAATATGAGAATAACCCACCAAACCAAAGGAGGGTCTTCCCATTAGATCTTTGGAAAGGAAAGGACAGTCTTCTACTTTGCTCTGTCCCTTTCCTACCTCCTAGCATCTCCTTTCACTCAACTCCCAGGCAGTCAGTGTCCTCATGCTTCATCTGGCTGCCCACAACCACCTACAGAACCCCATTTAGGGCTGCTATGCCCAGTACTCTCCCATGCAATAAAACTGCCTCTCCCTATTCCCACCTCCCCTTCCCAATGCAAAAATCCCCATTCCTTCAAGGCAATTAAATTATTTCATCCTAGGACATCTAAACTTGTATCTTCTTAGAGGGATTTGCATCTTGAAAGTGGCATCTACTTAAATATCTAACTGCTGGGCATGGAGATAGAGTGACGCAGAAGTTATATGTAGCAAAGACATGATTCAAATCTAGCATACATACTTGGACCCCATGCCACACTAGCAAGGAGACAGGAAATATAAATGGCATCAGTACCAGTTTCACAACTAACAGTTATTGCCCCCAAGTAATGTAATCTGGTGATGGTGTAACTTCTGAGGTTAAATCATTTAATAATTAGTTTCTTGTATATGCACAAATCCTTTGGTTGAAAAAAACAAGGCTGATTTGGAAATGAAAGAATGCATAACTGAAGCTTTCACTTGCAACTCCCACATATTATAGTTATGTTTTTTAATCCATTTGCTCTGTGGGATGCCAGATACTGAGTTTAAAGCTTGCTCTTCACATGTGTCACTCCAGCTGCATCCCCCCACAATTTAGCATCCTATAAGTGTACTTAATTATATGGAGTAGGATACCAGAGTTGCAAAGTATCTTTGAGGTAGTCTAATCTATCCCTTTCACTTAACAGATAAGAAAACCAAGGCTCAGATAGGCTTAATGACATGCCTATTTGTAAGAGGAATAGTAGGATCAGATTCCTTTTAAAAGGATGGATTTGGATCCAGAATTTTTTGTTCTGTTGAACTTCAGGCATGAGGGCAGACAGAACCTGGGCAATCCACCCTCCGAGACTTGGTCTTCAACAAAGAAAAGTAGAGCATTGAGATAGTTCAGGTAGATTCACCACATTTTAATGGCATCAGCACCTTGGTCTGGGAAAAGGTACCAAGGGAAAAAGCAGGCCATCTGAATATAAGCCAGATGGAATTATTCCATTCTAGAATTCTGTGATTCTCTCATAGCAGCCAGACAATGACCTGCAGGTCACAACTAGAGTCTAAAGACTCACCGATCCGAAGACATTGCCCCGTAGGTCCATACAGAGATACCTCCTGCTCATCACACCAGTTATTATGACTAGCCCAGCATCCTCTGATCTGATCATCAAGGCACCTGTTGAGAAAAACAGCTGAGATCAAAAACTTCCCACATTGTCTAATTTCTGCCTTCACACAAGCCCTAAAATGCTTTCTCTTTTATGAAGCTTTCCTTAGTTGACTAGAAAAAAAAGTAACCCATTCCAACACTATATTATATAAGTGTGTTGCTCCAGCTTCTTTCCTTCACAATTTACCATCTTACAAGTGGAATTATGTGGAATAGAATCCCAGAACTACAGAGTACCTTAGAGGTGTCTAATCTAATCTTACCTCATTATAGAAGAAACTGACACTCAGACAAGCTAAATAACTTGCCTTTTTATGAGGAATCAGTAGCAATAGCTCGTATTCCTTTAAGAATTGTCCATCTATTTTAAATTTAGTAACCGTCAATACATTCTAACCCACTAACAAGCCCCACCTCTTTCCCCCTCCCCCCAAAAAAATCAATCACAGAAAACATTTAGTACCAACTATGTGCCTGGCACTATGTTAGGCACTGGGGTTATAAATACAAAAACGAAATGAGTCCTTGCCTTCAAATAACTCCTGTTCCACTGGGGAGAAAAAATATACACATAGGATATATACAAAATAAATACAAGGTAGTTGGGAGAGAGACACTAGTACCGTAGCCAAGATTATACAGGAAAACATGAATTTCCATTTAATTTTTTTGATTTTTAAATGTTAATGAGAGAGTTAAATCATCCTCTTTCCATGTCCCCTTCTGCCTTTTTTTCCTGTTATTTCTCCATATTTTGTTGCTGTTATTATGAGTTATAATTATTATCATTTTGTTGCTTTTATTCTTATTAAATAGTTATAATTAGTGTTTACATTATTGTTTTGGTTCAGTTTTCTCCATTTTGCTTCATTTTCTGTGCCTTCCTATATTTCTTTGTATTCTTTGTATTTGTTATTTCTCATAATATTCCATTACATTTGTAAAAGGTAACGTTGCCTGATAAATTTGAGCCCCACAATACACCTGGTAAAATTATTGGATGTAAGGGACTTTCCCCAATCTCCCTTGGTTCCTGTCCCTTCTTCTGTTGATTGTCTCCAATTTTTCCTGTGTTTATCTCATTATACATAGTTATTTGTATATTCCCCCATTAGATTGTGAGCTCCTTGAGATCAGGGACTATCTTTTGCCTTTCATTTTATCCCCAGCACTTACCACAATGCCTGGCACATAGTACACACTTAACAAATGTTTTATTAACTGTTAACAACACAATTCAACATAAAGATTCTACCCCTTTCAGATTTTTTTTTAGTAGCTCATTTGCACTTTGTAAAAAGGGTAACCCTTTCAGACTATAGCCAGTGTTAAGGAAGTATATTCCTTTAAAAGATTTGGAAAAAATTCTCCCAAAAAATTAGTGGAATTATGGGGTGGCTAGCCATAGGGTGATAGAAGGATCAGTTACACACCTAGTGGCCTTTTAAAAATTTGAGCAAGTTTGGAGGAGTTAGTAAAGAAGAGATCCAGCTGTGGAGGAAGAACTCAGCTCTTAAGAGGGACTCCTCTAACACCATTTCCTTTCTGCCTTTTCCAAAATGTGTGTGTATTGGGGCCTGGTAACATAAGATTCTTCTCTTCTATACATTCCCCACTCTCACTCCCACTGTCAGCCCTGGCATCTTGCAATATAGCACCTCAATCAGTAGGAGACGTCATGCCCATCCAGCCAGTCCCGTGTAGAGTCAGCTTGAACTGTGGCAAGCAACTGACTTAGGGAGTGACATGCCCAGGAAAAGCAGATTAACACCACCAGGAGAAGGAAAAAGATAGGAGGATGATGCAACTCCAGAGGTAATGTGTGTTGCTTTGGCTTTCAGTGTTCCAACTCTACTAGTATATCCTCTTTGTGTGTGCCTACTCTTTCCACTGCCACTGTGTGTGTTGATGGGAAAATACACTGCAGTTTTCCTGGAGCGGTCTTTTGTCATTATTCTTTAAGCAATGCTGTTTCAATAAATGAGTTTTGTTGACAAACACAATTTTGTTATTTATGTATTCTGGCTGATTTTTGAATAGAGGAATGTTGACAGGATTGGGGGAAACACTGCACATGTGTCTGTCAGTTTTGCTCAGCTTTTCCTCAATCACTCGACTCATGGATTGCTTCCAGGCTTTTTTTTATTGTTGTTTTTTTTGTTTTTTAATTATGAATAATCCTGAGGTAATTCCAGCTTCATTTCCAGTGCTTCTGTTGGTGTTCTTTTTGTATATTTTTCTTCTATCATTTCTGCCTCCATTTCTCTTAACATTTTTTTTCACTTTGAATTCATTTCTTCATTTTGGATAGTTTTTCTCCCTAAAAACAATTTTCTTTGAGGGTTTCTGGTAGTTTGTGTTTCTTTGTCGGCATTTTTGCTGCTTATTTTTGAAGGAGATTTTTAAGGAACAAGGGCTCTCTTATGAGCTCTGTCCTGAAAAGTGAGCTCAGGTTTCTGTAGTGCAGTAAAGCCTAGGAACATAGATTCAAAGGTGGAAGGAACCTCAGAGGTCATCTGGTTCAACTCACTCATTCTTACAGATGAGGAAATCACAGTCCAAACAGTTCATCAGTCAACATGATGGAATTATAAGGTCATGGCCACTGAATGAAAATAACTGGCCATGGCTTTGATGGTCTTTAAAAAGCCAGCTAGCCAGCTTGAGAGTCATTTACCCTGAAGAGAGTTCACTTTCTACCTTTTCCCTTTCTTTCTTATATAGGAAGAGGGAAAGGGGAATTTCTTCTGTACCTCCCTTTACCCCCCTCCATTACTTCTGTCTTACAGCAGAAACACATACAAGTGTCCAAGGAACCCAGCTTCAGAGTCCAATCAAATAGAGAACGTCTGGTCCAATAATTTAGGTTAGAGATTGGAATGAAATGAGATCTTAGAATATCTGATACTCAGCAGAAGAAGGTTTTCTTTCTGTATTCAGAAATACAGCACTGATCAGTTGGGGAAAGCTTTCCTGTCTCTACATTGCCTGTGATGGCACACAGTCAAAAGCCTGAAAGAGGATCCAGATGATGATTTGTGCCCTGGTTTTTGTATTTGTCAGGACTTTGATCTTTGGTCTCCTAAGCTAATTAAACCCACAGGATGATTTCAATATCTTATAAGGGAAAACTAATCAGTCTTGTGTGAGTTAGAGTCTTAAGATCATTGCTTCTACTACAGTCTGGTTCTTGGAGCTGGGACCCTGTTGCTCAGGAGATGGTAGGCCTCAGAGCTAAGATTCCAAGAGAACAGAACTGTGTAGGCTACTGCTGATCCTAGGACATGGGTTCTAGTTCTTTCCAAAAATGCATTGCCATGCCCCATGGGCCTGATAGTAGTGGAGTTGTAAGTTACCTTGGTCACATGTCTCCCCTACATGTGTGCTTCCATGCTAGTGAACCTTATGTTGTCCATTCTTTCCATTGACAGTAAGTATATTTGTGGAGCAGTGCCCCATTCTTATGGAGGAGATGTTTTGTTGTTACTGTCCTTACTATACAATTTCATTACTATGAAAATTATTTACTATTCCCTTGTTTTGAGCTAATTGTTTCCTCTGGCTGACTAGAGACGAGTTAAGTAAATATACCAGTGGGACTCATGGTCTATAGTTCGAGAAGTAGGGACCCACAGAGCACCTTTAACCTGAGGTTGTTTTACTCTCTAGGAGAGCTTAACCTGCAAGTATGAGTTGGGGACGGGAGGTGGGGAGGAGGAGATGGTTCAGAGAGGGTTTTACAGGAGTGTTATTGTCCTCAATTTATAGATAAGTAAGTTGAGGCTAAGCAGCATTAAGTGACTTACCAGTGAACACAGTGCAAATATCAAAGCCAGAACTTTAATAACTCCTGACTTTCTAAAACGTTTCCCTTACACATTATTGCTTTTCTGCTCACTTGCTTATGCTCTTCATATTTATAGTAATAACAGTTGTAATTTAGTAAATATAATTTGTGTAAATAGTAATTTACATTGTTGTAAGTTGCTCACTTTATCAATCTGGCCCCAGACCAGACCATGTTTCACTTTCATATTCCTTTCATTCTGTCCACCAAGTGATTTTGTCATCTCTCTGGAGTTACTGGCCCATATCTCTCCACATGGACTAGCATTCTCCATGCTGGACCTCTGTACCAGACTTACAGATCCATTTCACCAGTCCTAGAAAAAGTTAATACACTCATTGATGAAACACTTACTCTGGGGCCTGGCCATCTTGATTGGTGACTAATGAAAACTTACATGGCTAGCTTTATTTAGATGGCCCCAGTCCAGACCATACTTAATATTTAATTACTTAATATTTCAACTGGCCATCCACCAGGCAGTCTTGCCATCTTCCTTGTCACAGTATATATTCCCTGCCCCTCTTTCTGCCTCTTATTCTGAGCATAGTAATCAAATGAATAGTACCATTTATTCCTTCCAGAAAGGTACTAAAGTCAGCTGTGTCAGTTGACTGCCTTAATGGTTCAATTCATCATCACTGTGACTCCCAGGATGAAAATTTCCTTCCCATGTCACCACTTCCTCATATGTTTTGTCTGTCCCTATTAAAATGTAAGCCCCTTAAGGTCAAGAACATTCTCACTTTTATATCTCTGGTTTTAGCCAGTATCTGGCATTCATTGTATAATTCTTTTCTTTTTGCAAAGCATTTGTAATCCATTATATCTCATTATATCTCAGATGTATCGAAAGAAGATTAAGGCTCTGCTATACTTCAGTCAATACTTGTGTTACCTTGGACAGACCACTCAATTCTTGTTCATCAAAGGTTATCATACAAAAGCTGGATAATCACTTGTGTAGCGTGTCGGAAAAGGGATTCTTGTTCACGTATGGGTTAGATGCAATGCCCAGTGAAGTCCTTTCCAGCTCTGAAACTGTGATCCCTGCCACACAGGAAGTAATCTGAAAAACTTCCCTTTTTAGGAGTGTTAGACTGGCCGAAGAGGAATATTTGCTTTGGCAGTTTGGTACATCTCAAAGTACCTGTGAATA